GAAGAGGAAAAAAACTGTCAGCAGACAGTACCATGACAGTTATCTGTCTTATGGCTTCATTTGGACCGGGGATGTGAACAATCCTCAGCCCGAGTGCGTCGTCTGACGCACTCGGGCTGAGGATTGTTCACATCCCCGGTCCAAATGAAGCCATAAGACAGATAACTGTCATGGTACTGTCTGCTGACAGTTTTTTTCCTCTTCTCTTTCGGTGGTGGGTTGTCGGCAGTCTCTACACTGGTGGTTGCTGGTTTGCTCCGCACAAGAAAGCGCTCCATTTTCCCGCTTGCTTGTTTCTCAGTTTTAATATTGTCCTTCAGCCTTTGATGTGTCACAGTCTTATAAATCCCACCTGCGCAACTGCGTTAACAGCGGAATACGGGGTTCTGTGAGGATTATTTTTTAAATAATCGTTTTTAGGTATAGAATTTGCCTCTGTATTATGAAATGTGTGCATACAAAGTACTGATATAGTAAATAAAAAAATAATTATTTTTGTGTAGTTGTATATTGCAATAATAACGTATGTTTGTCACAAAATCCCACGGCACACCTGGACTTGCCTCACGGCACACCGTGAAACCACTGCGTGTAGAGAACCAGCTTCAGTGAGAGATTTACACATTGCAGTTGGCGACAATGGAGGACATGAGTGAATTTCTGCGCGCCAGAGAGGTCCAAGAGGAAACCATATTGCAAATGGAAGAACAAAACGTGAGTTATAAATATATAAGTGTGTTTTGGGCGTTCGTAAAAACAAGAAAAAAGGCGTTAGAATGTGAAATGCAGACATTGATGAGCTAGCAGCAAGCGCATTAATTTATATGCTGTGGCTTCCCCCCCATCTAATTCAGTAAATAATGGTTTAGTTCGTTGACACGCAAGTGTGTGCTTGTTGGAACTGACGACTAACCAAGAGTAACAGCCTCGTGGTTTTCATGTTTCTGTAGAGATTTAATTAAGTGTTTTTTTTTGCCGTCATTACTTCAAATTATTTTGCCTGTAGCAGTTTAGAGATCAGTGGTCAAAGTACAACGCAAGGAGGCAGTTGCTAATTATATAACCAAAATTCACCCAGAACAACCCCTCTCGGTACTGTAGCATTGTTACCACAGGGGTTTGGGGCATTGTCCTTTTACCCCACAATCACATAATTATCAGCATATGAATATGAATCCTGCTGTACTGTCTGAAGGGGATTAAAACAGCAGGACAATGTTATTATTATTCAAATATTTGTATTGATTTTCCACATAATAACAAACAGCAGCACTCAGCATTCAAAAATACAGCACACACAGAAAGTATACAAAATATCAATTGACATCCAGAAGAGATACAAAATATGTATATAGAAAATAAAAATAAATTATTAAATTAAAAACTACATGGTTAAATAACCTAAAGTAAAAATGAAAACATAAATGAATTTAAAAAAAACAGTGTGGGGGGGAGGGGGGGAGTTGGCTACATTATTTTAATGTTAGAGAATTCGTTCTCAAAGTAGGACAGAAATGGTTGCCAGACCTTATAGTACTTTGCGATAGAGCCCCGGGTAGTGTGCTTTAGCTGCTCAAGTTTAAGATGGGACATTACTTCCTCTACCCAGCGCTTGTGAGACGGCGGTGCAGCCTTCTTCCAACTAAAGAGTATCAGACGCCTAGCAAGTAGGGTAGAGAATGCCACAGCCTCAGCCTGATCAGTTGTTATTCGTGTCTCCTGTGTGACCACGCCAAATAATGCCGTCAATGGGTTAGCATCCACCGCCGTGTTACACATGTACGAAAAGGTTTTAAATATACCAGTCCAAAAAGGGGCCAGTTTTGGACAGAGCCAAAACATGTGACTTAGGCTGGCCGGGTCCCGACTGCACCTGATGCAGGTTGGGTCTAGACCACAGCAGGACAATGTTGGTAATTTTATCTAGTATGTGTTGCTGCGTATCATGTCAGTCTCTAACGTTAACGTTACTGAGTGTAACTACTCTGGTCTTAAAAGAATGTTACACATCGATCTGATGTCCACAATCATATTTATTTGCCTCTTGGAACATGTTAAAAACACTTTTAAGGGTTATACTTATGTGAAGGTTATAAACTTTAGGGTAAACAGGGAAACTAGTAGTATCTGTTTTTCTAACAAAGTGACAACAGTACCATCATGGCAAAAACTGGCTTTTTAAGGGTTAATATTCTGAAAATTAATGAATGTTTTGTATTATTAGACCCTCCAGAAAAAAGCGGGCAAATATCCTTGATTATGCGGGCTAAAATCCTTGATTATGCGATTAAACATGCAGGGTTTTTATGTGATTTTATGCGGTGAAATTGCGGGAAGTTGCGAAATATGCGGAAAGTTGCGAAAAATAATATATTTTTTTTTAAATATTGGGCTGTCTTATTTATTCTCTCTCACACACAACCTGCCACTAACGTTAAACCCCTTTCCTATTCAATTAAACACATTCAATGTTTATTTATTGTAAAAGCTATTTTAATAATCACATTCTCTCTCTCTCTCTCTCTCTCTCTCTCTCTCTCTCTCTCTCTACGGTGTTGTTTACCTTCTGTGATGCGCGAGCTGATGACGTCGCGTCATCATTCACGTCAAGACGAGTTAACTTTTTTTTTTCTCAACTTTGTGTGGAAAAATGCGGGGATTATGCAGCCTTTTAAAAATCTGCGCCATTATGCGGTAAATTCTGCAATCGCAGAATCGCGTTTTTCTGGAGGGTCTAGATATAGGACTAATCAAGTTACAAAATGCCATACCACTGATTTTAACTTTATTTATTTCTTCTGTGTAACTACAACTTTAGGCAAATAAGTACACAAGTCAAAACATCCAGGATATCTGTGTTGATTTCTTGATAAAAATATATTTTATTTACAGTTTTCCTGCAGACGCAAGTTAGTTTTTTTTTTATATAAAAAAATGACAGATCATGAAAAATACAGATGGATTAGCATGCCTTCTCTTTCTGTAATTAAAATAAAACCCACCCCACCTCTCTGAGAGTTTTCTCCTCTCCAGTGCCCACATCTTCATTAAAGAGCAGATGCCTGCGGAAGAATCCAGAGTATCACAGCTTCCATCAAATCAAAACCTGCAAGTTAAGACACATATGTGACAGTTTACAATAATTGGAATTAATTGGACAACATTATGCATTCAGATTTGCTGTTTGCTTTCCACGTCTCAACACATCAACAACTTGTCATCCAGGCTGCTTGGCGCCGCCTGAAATCGGAGCAAACGAGCTCATTTCAGCTGTGTGTCAGCCAGAAAAGCAAGAAAAAGGGAAAGAAGAAGTCAAAACTGTGTTTCCGTTTTGCAACTATTCCAGAAAGTTCCCTAATTAGGCCTATCTAGGTGGTTAATAAATCAAAAGAAAGCAAAAGCAAGTGGCCCGTGTGTTGGAAATCTCACATCTGAATAAATGATGAAATATGAGACAGACAGAGCAATTATTAGCTTTCTTAAACATCGTTTACAAACAGGCTCTACATAATACATGGGGCTGTTTTTAATGGCGCAGATCAAAGAGAATCAAAGCCCCAGCGGTGCGACTGTTAAACTGACTGCAATTAAATAAATCACAAACAAAGAAGCGTCATGTCGCAGTCGAGGGGCTCGGAGTGTGTCCCCACGGTGAAATACAGACAATAAGTGTGTGATTGGATCACTGATGTCCCGCTGGACGGCAACTGGAGACTCGTAAATATTATGAAAACTCATTTGTAATAAGGAATATCATGAGATGGTTCCAACATGTCTGCGTTATGACGCTTATTGCTTCCGTGCATTATGTGGCCTGAAGATGAGCCGGGATTAATCACAGCGCGGCAGCCATTTGGTGTCAGTCAGTCAAACAAGTAAATTGCTCGTATGGCAATCAGCCAGTACTGACAGCGCTGAGATTACCCTCTCCGCTCATTCCCCTCTAACACCTCAACGCGTTCACTGTCACCGCTCTCACAGCAATCACAGGGGATGCCAAAGATCGTGTGTGTGTGTGTGTGTGTGTGTGTGTGTGTGTGTGTGTGTGTGTGTGTGTGTGTGTGTGTGTGTGC